GTAGATTGTCCTCTCCTGGGGACCAGAATTCAGAGGATCTCTCAAGTGAAATGCTTGTTTTCACGTGCCCAGGTCTTGAGGATGTCTCGAGCGAGACGCTTGGTTTCACGCCTCCACGTTGCCCAGACAGATGTCTAGCATGAGGATTTGTTGAGGATGTCTCGAACCAGAGGCTTGTTTTCACGTGTCCAGGCCGCCCAGGCGGATGTCTAGCATGAGGATGTGTCGAGGAAGTCTCGATCGAGACGCTTGTTTGCACGTGTCCAGGTTGCCCAGGCGGATGTCTAGCATGAGGATGTGCTGAGAACGTCTTGAGCGAAACGCGTGTTTTCACGTGTCCAGGTCGCCCAGGCACAGCACAGCCCTCGGCACGGTACATCAATATCGATACCCTTGCATTGCAGCCTGGCATGTTGCCTGGCACGTTCCGCGGAGCGTCCCGTGGCGAGTCCCCCTGGCACGTCGCGCGGTGCACGTCCATTGGCACGTTCCGTAGCGCGTCCCCTTGGCACGTCCCGTGGTGCGTGCCCATGGCACGTCCCCTGGCACGTCACCTGGCGCGTCCCTTGAGACGTTCCGCAGCGCGTCCTCCTGGCATGTCCCCCTGTCGATTAGTTCTGGGGCAGCTACCATCTGCTCAGGCAGCTCGAGCTTAAGATACGGATCAGTTCGGGCAGGACTCGGATGCAAAGAGGACTCGATCCACAACGCTATATAGAGCACAATTGCGGCATGGCACATCGCAGTTCAGCACGGCCCAGTACAGCACAGCCGTCGGCACGGTACATCAAGATCATTACAATCGCGGCATGGCACATCGCAGTTCAGCATGGCCCAGCACAGCGCAGCCGTCTGCACGGTACATCAAGATCGCTACATTCAACCTTGCATTTTGGCACGTTCTTTGGCGCGTTCCGTGGCGAGTCCCCCTGGCACGTCGCGCGGCGCGTCCCCTGGCACGTCCCGCGGCACGTCCATTGGCACGTTCGGTAGCGCGTCCCCTTGGCACGTCCCGCGGTGCGTGCCCATGGCACGTCCCCTGGCACGTCGCTTGACGCGTCCCTTGGGACGTTCCGCGGCGCGTCCTCCTGGCATGTCCCCTCTGTCAATTAGCTCTGGGGCAGCTACTATGTGCTCAGGCAGCTCTAGCTTAAGATACAGATCAGTTCGGGCAGGACTCGGATGCAAAGAGGACTCGATCCACAACGCTATATAGAGAACAATTGCGGCATGGCACATCGCAGTTCAGCACGGCACAGCACAGCACAGCCCTCGGCACGGTACATCAAGATCGATGCACTCAGCATTGCAATTTGGCATGTTCCGTGGCGCGTCCCGTACCGAGTCCCCTTGGCACGTCGCGCGGCGCGTCCCTTGGCACGTCCCGTGGCACGTCCATTGGCACGTTCCGTAGCGCGTCCCTTTGGCAGGTCCCGCGGTGCGTCCCCATGGCACGTCCTTTGGCACGTCGCTTGGCGCGTCTCTTGGGACGTGCCGCGGCGCGTCCTCCTAGCATGCCCCCTTGTCAATCAGCTCTGGGGCAGCTACTATGTGCTCAGGTAGCTCTAGCTTAAGATCCAGATGAGTTCGGTCAGGATTCGGATGCCAGGGAGGACACGATCCACAACGTTATAGAAAACAACCGCGGCATGGCACATCGCAATTCAGCAGGGTGCAGCACAGCACAGACTCCGGCACAGTACAGCAAGATCGATACACTCAGCAGTGCAACCTGGCACGTTCCTTGGCACGTTCCGTGGGGCGTCCCTTGCCGAGTCCCCCTGGCACGTCGCGTGGCGCGTCCCCTGGCACATCCCGTGGCACATCCATGGGCACGTTCCGTAGCGCGTCCCCTTGGCACGTCCCGCGGTGCGACCCCATGGCACGTCCCCTGGCACGTCGCTTGGCGCGTCCTTTGGGACGTTCCGCGGCGCTTCCTCCTGGCATGTCCCCCTGTCAATTAGCTCTGGGGCAGCTACTATGTGTTCAGGCAGCTCTAGCTTAAGATCCAGATCAGTTCGGTCAGGATTCGGATGCCAGGGAGGACTCGATCCACAACGCTATAGAGCGCAATCGCGGCATGGCACATCGCAATTCAGCACGGCGCAGCACAGCACAGCCCTCGGCACGGTACATCAAGATCGATACACACAGCATTGGTTTTGCGGGTACATCAATAAGGTGTCTTTGAAAACGCTGCTATGCGTTACATTTCTATATGCCTTTTCGGGTTCGTGGGTCGATCATGCTTCCTCCTGATTCTTGGCGGTCTTGGAGGCCTCGTGGACCCTCTTGGAGCGTCGGAAAGACGAAAGGCGAGAAGGCTGAAAACCGCGGACAGCCAACAGAAAATCAATGATTCGTGTCTCGTGGGGGCCTCTTGGGAGGCCTCTTGCAAGCGTCTTGGGCCGTCTTGGCGGTCATTTGGGCCGTCTTGAGGCCACCTGGGGCGGCTTGGGGCGATTTGGGGGCGTCTCCGGCCCCTCTTGGGGCCGTCTTGGGGCGCTCTTGGGCCCGCGTGCCCGCCTCTTGGGCCGTCTTGAAGCCGTCTTGGGTCACCGTGGGGCCCTTTCGGGAGCCTCTCGGGCTGTGTTAGGGTGGTCTTGGAGGCCTCTTGGGCCATTGTGGAGCGTCGGAAGGCCGGAAAGGCGAGAAGAATCTAACGACAATCGATGATTTTTGCCTCTTGGGCCGCTTCTTGGAAGCCTCGAGGGCGTGTTGGTGGCATCGAGGGTCATCGTGAGGCTATCTTGGGCCGCCTTGGGTCGCAAATGGCCTCTGGCTGCAGGGCCTGCCACCTATCTGTCGACTCATTGGGCCGCTCCTGGACGGCTCCAGAGGCCCCTGGGCCCGCGCCCAACAGATCCGGCACCTCTGGCGGGGACTTGCCGGGAGTTCCCCGGGTACTGTTGCTCCGGGACCCCAAGTGACCGCCACGCGCGCGCAACCGGAGATCTTAGCCCGCCTTGGGCCCGTTGGGCCGGCGAATCGTGTCTGACGTCCGCGGAGGGACCAGGGGTCTTGATCATTCGGGTGCGTCCACAGGGGATTGAGGGGTCTTCCGTGCGGGGCCGCGGATTCTCTTTGGGCGGGCTGGGGCGTCTTTGGTGGAAGGACCAGATGATCGGATCAGGGGTGCGACGGGCAGAAGAGAACTTGTCACTGAACTTATCACATTTTTCACCCCTTCTATCGTCTCCAGTCGTAGCGGGAGGTCCCGCGGCAGAAGAGCACCCTGAACGAGCCCCTCCGTGACAGAGGGGGGCCATCTCGGCGCCCCTCTGTGACAGAGGAGGGGTTCCCAAAAAACGAATTGTCACCCAATTCCGGCTTTTGGATTACACGCCGGTCGTTGAAAGTAGGTATTTTTGGATTCCTAGATCCCAATCTACTTCAAGCGCCTTCCTACTTGAAGAATCGACATGCTTTTGCTGTGTTTTGTTATTCTCTGGGGGGACCTGGACCCAATCTACTATATCCGCCTTCCTACTTCATGATTCTACCTACTTCTTCCGACCGACGTGTAGGTCCCTGGGGTCCTCCACGAGACAGGCTCCCTCCATGGGTCCCCGGGCGTGGCGAGGGTTCCATGAGAGGAGCCCCACGTCGGCCGAAGAAGGCACAGAACTTTTTGCATTGCCCAGGCCCTGGTGGTCCATGGCTCGCCCACGGCAAAAAATGGAGGAGGAGGAGGAGGAGAAAGAGGAGGAGGGAGGAGGAGGAGGAGGGAGGATGAGGAGGAGGAGGAGAAAGAGGAGGAGGAGGAGGAGGAGGAGGAGGAGGAGGAGAAAGAGGAGGAGAAAGGGAGGAGAGGAGGAGGTAGGAGGAGAGGAGGAGGAGGAGGAGGAGGAGGATGGAGGAGGAGGAGGAGGAGGAGGAGGAGGAGGAGGAAGGAGGAGAGAAAGAGGAGGAGGAGGAGGATGAGGAGGAGGGAGGGAGGAGGAGGAGGCGGGAGGAG